AACCTGAGGCAAAGATGCCCCAGCTAACTTGCCTGGCTTCTGATAAACTGCCTGCTTGTGCAAACCTCCATCTCCTGCTAACTGCTTATCTTAGCTTCTGTTAAACTGCTTGCTAAAGTAAAACCTCTCCCTGCAGCTGCTGCCGCCAAGCAAGATATCATGATAGAGTTTGCCTTTAAAAGTTCCTTGCTCTAAATACTCAGTGCTATGCTTAAGTCCTTAATATCTGTGTATATTCCCAGCGGGTTGGAATGAAGACTTTCAATTGGCTATAAACTGTGTTTCAGTGGACATCTTTGGTTGACTTTCCATAACAATATGTTTTTCCAAAGAAATGTATTAAAATTTCACCTTCTCTCTCCCTCTTCCTCCCTCCCTTCCTCCATTCTTCTTTCTTTTCCTCCCTCCATCCATCCCTCACTCTTTTCCTCCATCTCTTCTTCCTATTCCTTCACCCCCCTTTTTGTATTTTTTTCTGGCTCTCTACCAAAAGATGTTTGAAAGAGCCAAAGCCATTATTTTGTACTGACAGTAAAATTTTATTCTCAAAGAAATAAATCAGCACATTTTGTCAGAGATGAGACACAATGTGAAATGTTATCAAGCAAAATTTGGGTCTTTTAAACTTTTCTGCTTGATTTAACAATCAATTCTTCAAATTCTGACACAAAGCTAAGCCACTAGACTGGCTGTAAATAATAAGAGTTTGAAAAGCCATGGAAACAATTGTATCTGCATATTTTTTACTCTCTCCAGTGATTTCCTGTGTGAGTGACAGATACACCATAGGGGAGCCACACATATTCACAAATTAAGGAGTAGAATCTCTACTGGACTTGTCAGGACTTTCCCATGAGATGCCAGTCTAACTAAATTTCAAATGCCATAGACTGTGTTCATAATCTGGGAGCATGCGTTTCGATTTCTTTCTCTTTAGGAAACCAAGGTATCAATTCAACATTTGTATTTCAGTTTTAAATGAATGTATTATCCTTTTTTTTTCCTCTAAATTCCATCCTCTGCTATCGTGTGGGCACACTGTTTCTTTCTTTCTTTCATTAAGATGAAGGGCCACACCAGACACTATCACATGGGTAAAATGAAGCAATTGAGAAGATGGTTAAGAAAATAAACTAGGCATTCCCTCTGTGGACAAATATTTACAGATATTTATAAATATTCACAAATGTTCAAGGCAGAGAGAGGCAGATGCCACTGAGGTTCACTCTCATAGACCATCCTGTAGTGACTGAACTTGACAAGAAGAGAACATATCAAAATTGAAGTGGGTATCACTTCAAAGCTACAATGTTTGTGACCAGAATACTTTTATAGTAATTTACATTTTGTTTCATAACAAAATTATGTTTCATATTTTGTTAGATTTATAAATTACAGATTTCTCAAGAAATTTCCTCAAATGTATTTTTTGGAGGGAAAATTCAGGATATTGTCATTATATTACATTACTATATTTGTTCCACCTTTGCTTTAGGAGAAATTTAATTTCTACTGCCATTTAGGTTTGGCACATGAAGTAACTGATACTATAAAAAATGTTTAATTGTTTGATTTAGTATTAAACCTAGGTGTATGCTTACAGGGAGGAACCTGCGACTCATGGGTGGTAAACATCATGCAGCCAAGGGTAATGAGAAAAACACCCATACAAAAACACAACCTGCCATAAAGGATAAAATTGTTTTTATATTTTGTGTGTGTGAAATCTAAAAAAAAACATTATATGATTGTTAAGCTTGAACTTTGTAGATAACAGTTTTGTGTTTTAATGTCAAAAGGTTGCACATGTGATGAAGGCTTATCTAGGAAACTGCACACATGTGAACGTTGACTTGAGTTTCATCCCCAAAAACCCATGTGAAAAAGCTGGATAAGAGAGCTCGGGAAATGGCTTTGGGAATAAAGGGTTTGCTGTGTACTTCTGATTCCAGAACCCATGTGAGAAACACGTGGACATGGTGGCCACAGTGGTCTTAACACTCAAGAGACAGAGACAGAAGATCTATAGGGCAAGCTGACTAGCAAGTGTAGCCAGAACTGATGAACTCCAAGTTTACTGAGCTAAAAAAAAAAAATAAAGAGGAAAGTAATTGGGGAAGACACATGATATCAACTTCAGGTTCTCACACGCACATATACATCTGTATCTGGACATGTACCCACACACATCCATCAGTACACATAAAAATACATACATAATGATAAAGCTTCAATAAACACAAAACTGGCTGCAGTAGTGCATGCCTAGAATCTCAGCACCAGGGAGGCAGACAGGAGACTCTCCAGTCTATCTGAATCAGTAAGATCCAGTTCGATTGGGAGACCTGATCTCAAAATAAGGTAGAGGGACACAGAAAACATTATCAATGTCAGTCTCTGGCCTCTATTTGTAAGTATATACCACTTCAAGATTTGGACATGTTAGGCAGCATATGCTTTGGGAGCATAATTTTTATTTCATATATGTTGTTATTTGATGTTCATAAAGTATAGGAGTTTTAAATTTCTGTTATTAACATTTTTGTGATGTTTTCCAATGTTCATTAGAAATACCAGATATATAAAGACCAGGTTTCATATGAATTTTATCTCAAGCAAATAAATCAATAGGAAGATGTCAAATCAAAGCACGCATAATCTGGACATACAGCATTGTTACAAGAATAGCATCAGGCTTCTATTTCATCTACACCTAGAAACGTTCACCTAGAACAGCAGAATTTGCTGAGGAGAGCACAGGACGGATCAGAGAAGAGAGCCACAAAAGCTATGTAAGGAAAGAGGAGGCACTAATCTTGGAATTATGAACTGTACTCTGAAGAGTACCCTTGCAGAGGAGTGTGCACACTGGAGAAGAAATAGGAAGTGTGAGATGAAAACGGCCCAATGGCCCAAACCACTAGTATGGTCAAGGAGACTAGCATTAGACTCCTTGTCAGCAACACTTAATGGAAGAAAAGAATGGAGAGTCTGTTGGAGTAACAGGCCAATGTAAATGCAAGATAATATCCAAATTGTTATTATCTCCCAATGCTGGCTGGCCTTCAAGCATTGAGGCTATAGAAGAACCATGTTTTTATTTGTCACTTCTCTACTGCTATGATAAAAAAAAAAACATGACCAAGACAACTTATAGAAGGAACAGTTTATTCAGGCTCATGGTTCTCATGGGATAAGAGTTTGCCATGGTGGAGAAGAAACAGAGATGGCAAGCTTAAATCTTAAACCACAGGTACAAAGCAGAGACATTAACCTAGAAATGACCTGAGATTTTAAACTCTAAAGCTCATCCTTCATGACATACATAATCCAGCGTATCCATACCCCGAAATTTACCCAAATACCGGGGACTAAGTATTCACATGCCTGAGACTAGGGTGGACAGTTTCCATTCAAACCACTACCCTGTTGAATAAGAAAGTGTTCTAAAACACTTTGCAGTAATAAGTTTAATTTAGTATGTTATGTTGGAGAAACTGAGGAGATCTGTGTGAATACTGATTCTGTTTTATTAAAACTTAAAACAAGGGGAGAGGAATGGGGGGAGGGGGAGGAGGTTAGGAGGAGGGGGAGAGAAATGGGAGGCTGGGTGGTGGCGGAAACTTTCTTTTTTTCCTTTTCTCAATTAAACAAAAAGAAATTTAAAACAAAATTGAAAAATATAAAAATGTTCCAAAACTGACAGACTGCACAATGACATCAAGGGGCAGGGGTTGGGGAGAAAAATCATAAGACAGACTAAGTTTGTTGACAAGATATAGAAATCTAATAATACAATCCAAACTAAAAAGTCAAGTAGCATACTATTAATGATATTTAACAACACAATGACAAGCTCAAAGAAATATATTATTGACTAAAATTGTATGGTGGGAAGGTCAGAAAAAGACCTTTGATCTAATTTTCTTCTCCCTCAATGTAAGGAATCAAAATTCACTGTATGATGAGGATGAATGAAGGACCTAATCTATAAAGTCAACAAATTGTATAATTGCAGATAAATGGCATCTTGTAAACTATTAGACAACTATTTAGACAACTATTAGAAAAGTAGTTATGTTACCAAATATAACAAGAAAGACACGCAGACTGAAACAACCAAACACTAACACAATTAGATGGAATAGGTCAACACGGAATGCTATCACTGTGAAAAAACAATCAATTTTGTCAATAAACATGTATTGCCACTGGAACTGTAATCAAAGCATTTCTTGATGCTTCTTAGTGAGCATCAAGAAACAAGTGCCATATGGATGGAATGACACAACCAAAACAAATCTTAAATGTAGTTAAAAATGCAGCAACAGAAGAGAAAAGGATTCATGTGTCATAGATTAAGGTACAGGAGACTGAGTTGAAAAAAATCAGTAAATGAAGTGAACCGAATATCCTCTAACAATGTGAACTGCTTTATTTTACCAATATAAAGTTATTTATATGAAGTATTAGTTCTTTTTAAAGCATCTTTTCTGAGTTTATTGGCCAATTATTTTAAGTTAACTGAAATGAAACTATTTTTTATTTTATAAGCTAATATCTTGTCAAGCATTACAATTTTTGTTTACCTAATGTGAAGTATTATTTCTAATACCTAATATTTGTAAACAGCCTAAGTGTTTTTCATTGTTCAGTAAAGTATTGGTAAAGTGACTAGCGTGGTGGAGTACACCTTGAATCTCAGTACTGTGGAAGCAGATGCAGTCAGTTTGGGGCCAACGTAGACTACATACTAAGTTCAGAGGCCACTCAAAAATACATAGTATGACCCTGTCCAGAAGAAAAAAAACAAAAGCATTAGCATTATGGAATACCTGAGATACATGACTGTCAAAGTAGATGATAAATTCTGTAGAGTAGCATCGGCTATGGCTATCTGAAATAAAGTAGTAATATTTTCTATGTGGGAACTGATTCATGCAAATGCCTACAGCAGCCACAGAGTATTCGGACTTTATGGACATGGGCCTTGTACTTACGGTTTACAGATTTGACTGGTAAGATTGGGTTTACCCTCTCTGGGGAGGCAGCACTATCTTCATCTGTCACATACTCAAAATTAATGATGAACATCATAGCCACACCCTCTTGGTTCTTCACTGGGATTATGTGAGTGTTACAAATGAAAGTGGAGCCTAAGGGGAGGAAAAAAAAATGAGTGTTAGATCAAACATATACTTTCTCTGTGAATTATCAGTAATAACACAATTGAAATGCATTCCTATAAAAAGTTGTCTTAAATGACCACTGACAATCAATAAAATAATTTAATTTTCCCATAATTTATTGCATATGTATTTACTTTATAGATACACATAAAAAGTTTAGAGTATAATTCAGTTATTATATTGTGGAAAAACACAATATCAAATCCTATCAGCTCTTACCAATAACTTTAACAACTAGTATAAAAGAGTATTTTTAAGATTCTAGAAAACACATTCATCCATGCCCTACATATTTGTATTAAGTCTATGTCTATGAGAAATATACTTGTATAAAGAGTGAAGAGATATTCCTTTTATATCACCATGATTTTGAAATTAAAAATTATATATTTTTCTTAGTTTCCTAGACCCAATCAATTACTGTATATCTTAGATGTGCTGCAATAAATGAGAAAAATGCAAGCATCCAAATGACAATATTTTATTCGGTTTTAATTGTTTAGAACATTGGAAAATATCTATATTATTGTATTATTGTTTTCTGTATTGCCAATAGTCACCTCTGTGAATCCATCAACACAATCTTTGCCATTCACGATCTATAAATACAGTTGAGAAGCTGAGTTTCTTTAAACTATTTACCTTCTGTCTGATTTCTTGGTGCTGACAACTAGTAATCCTCAAACAGTTCCTTTCTGGTGTTGGGAGGTCTTTCTGTCTATGTGTTGCTTTCATTGGTTAATGAATAAAGAACTGCTTTAAGCCTATGACAGGAAAGAACTGAACTAGGCTGTATGCTGGGAGAAAGAAGTGCGGAGTCAGAGAGAAGCCATGGAGCCACCACCAGATACAGACATGCTAAAAGTTTGCCTGTAAGCCACTGCCATGTGGTGATACACAGATTAATAGAAATTGGTTAAATTAATATGTAAAAGTTAGCCAATAAGAAGCTAGAGCTAATGGGTCAAGCAGTGATTTAATTAATGCAATTTCTGTGTGATTATTTTGGGGTTGAGCAGCCAGGAACCAACAAGCGGCCTCCTTGCTATACCCTTCAATCCCTATCTTCTGAGGATTTGTTCTACTCAGTAAAAGTGAGATTAAACTTTAGAACTATGCATTTGTTTCAGCCAAATGTAAATGTGAAAAACTTCAGAAAGCAATCTTAATCTCTCAGATAGTAACGTGTATTATGATTATTCTTGCTTTTTTTAATATTAGCCCAAGAATTATGTTTCAGTGACAAAATAGAGAGGGGTGTAAGAAGGCAAGGTTGATGAGATATTTTGATGAATTGTGAGAAAATGATGGCCATCTGGAAAGAAGGGACAAAGGTGCGGGCAGATAGCAGAAGGTTTGAACCAAGAACCCGAGCATCTTCAAGAATTACAGATTGCTGACATTCTAAAGAGGCGTTGCAAATTCTGTTGCAAGCAAAACCAGCAGTGAATAAAGCCTTTTCCTTCCTACAGAGTCCCGTATCATGGCTAATACTATCAGAGTTGAGAACAGAAGCTGCTTCTGATATCGCTGTAGGTGGAGGACGCAGAGCTTTGAGAAATGTGCGGCCGGACAGCTATTTGCCATGTGGTAAATTGTTTCAATGGTCTCTAATTTCTACAGATCGTAGTTACAAATACCCACTTAGATCACTTACTCTTTGTATCTTAGAGATACCAAAGTCTTAGTTACAATTTAGATTTATAAATACTGATATCTTTCCCTATTTGAAATGGAATAGACCCTAATAAAATATCAAACGAAAGAGACCCTAAGAAAATGTCTAATATAGATCAGTAACCCACACTGCACAGATGCTAAAAAACATGCATTAAGAATGATTTGTTGCACATCCAGTCTTCAGCTGTATCTTCAATTCATCTAATAAAATAGTTAGCTAGAGCTCTTGTGAAGTTTCTATGGTAACAAACAGGCCAACTTTAGTAAACACAAAATAAGCAATTTAAGAGTGCTCCATTAGAACTAAATATAGACGTGCCATGGACCAGGCATCACAATGCAAACTGGTTAAACAGAATCTGAAGAGACGTGAGAAACAGCCATCATGCACTTTCCTAATGAGTCAAAATACATATTGATTTTACCACTTACAATGACATTTCCTACACCATTTAGAATATAATTGTGAATTCACAGATTTGTTATTCAGCAGTTTGAAATCTTTCAACATTTGAGGTATACTGCTGATTGTGAAGCAGAAACATAAACTAAATCTTTGAGAAATCAATAAATAAAAGATGCAAGGATGAGGATCTAATAGGCTTGTAATAGAACAGAGCTGTTTTGTATTGACTAATAAAAGGAAAACCATACCCTTCCATACAAATGCTTGAAATTTACTCTTGAGTACTGAAAAGCACATAATCATTGTGTTCCAGGAAAACAGTTCAATGCATGTATATCAGCTCCACATCTCATTGCATATGTATAATTAATATGAGATTTATTGCTTACCACTATTGCTTCCTACATGCTTCCATTAAATAATATATCCTTTCTACAGTCAACTGAAGACTCACACTTACATGCTTTCCAGTTTTAGTTTGGGGAGTTGACATATCCATCAATCTTGTGTAGCCTCTGGAAGGCACACAGTGAAAGGGGAAACACAGAATACCGAGGAGGAGCATATATGGAATGTATTTTAGCTTGCATAATTCTGCAACCTCCAAGCACTGTTGAGTAAAGCAACATACCTGTCAGAGTCATCATTCTGTGATTGTTAATATTTTTTCCCCTGAATGAAGTGGTAGAAGCAAAAGGAACAGAAACATAATCTGTGAAGCACTACTTTAACAATGAAGAAAAGAAAGACTTATTCAATGATATTTAAATAGCATTAAATCAAGAAAGAATTTAAACCTTGTTAAAGTGCATCGTGTATTCAAATGCAATTAATAGTGTTTGTTAAGAGGCAGAATATTTACAATAACATTATCCATTATTTATACAGTTAGGCATGCAGTTATGCTGCACTAATACTGGTTAGACTTGGGTTCATTTCCATATTTTTGTTTCCTGAGTGAAAACCTTTCCAAAGTGGAAAAGGCTACTTGTCAGAAACTGTGATTATTTTAATAAATTTTTCAGAATTTAAAACTTTTAAACTCAAGAAAAGCACAGTCCTTTGAATAACACAACAATTACCTCTTTAAACATAAACAGTGGCTTATACTCAGCTGTATTATGAAATGCAATGAAAGGCCATGATTTTTCTGCACAAACTTCTTTGAAAGTATTTCTTTTGTCTGTAATGTGTACTCACAGGGCATCTTGTGCATACAAGGAACATCAGGGAAGCCAGAGTAACTATACCAACATGGTGACTACAAAGTCTGGGGTGTGGAGGGTAGGTCAAGGGAGATACAAAACGGCACACCAACCGAGAACTTCTCTCTGTTGGAAAAGTGCTGGGGCATTTCATGCACAGATTGCTTCATTTGATTTAAAACTATCATTCTCATGTGCATGCAAGCAATAGCTTGCTGAGAAGGCTAGGATGGGAGCAAAGAAAGCATTGTGGAAAACACTGTCAAAACTGGCATGAGTATAATAGTTTATACCAGTGTCGTGTGGGTGAAAGTGCTTAGGTGGAGTTCAACATGTGTTGAGCTAGAAGAATGACTTACTATTTCTTTAACTGAAATAGGGTGAGGCAAGAAGTGGTCTTGAAGATTTTGTATACTCATAGGTGTTTGAATATGGTAACTCTGAAATTGCTTGGATATCTAAGTGGAGAAGATAAACATAAGGCACAGCAGTAAAGTTGAGTTTAGGTATTACTCTAAACCAGCATTATGAATTTGGAAGTCATTGGGGTAGATAGGTATAGAGAAAGTTTGTAGCCCTACTCCAGAGGCACTTCAGAGTCAGAGGATAGATGAGCAAGACCCCATAATGATCATGAAGGATCACACAGTGAAGTGGGAGTGGAATCAAGACTGTGGGCCATCAGGGCTTCAGAGCCAACATTAATCCCTCTTGCCAATAGGCATCATGAGACATTAGCAAACATTGCAATTCTTTAAGAGATATTTCATAGAACTGTGGCCATGAAGCTGTTTGGATGCATTCAAGAATGAATAAACTGCATGAATTACATCTGACAACAGAAGATTCTTTCAAACTGTTCTACTAATGGATGAACTCCACACAGTTCTAGCACAGATCCATAGCTAGAAAAGATATTAAAGCTGTATTTTCTTGCTAGAAAAAATGTTGTATGTTTCTACATTTCTACAAAGTACATTGAATTGTTTTAAAACAATTCTATCCAAATTTGTTCACATTAGGCTATTTAAAGTTACTTAAACTCAAGAAAGGTCTAATTCTATCTTGAGATATTTTTCTTACATTTGCCTTGTTCAGTGTTTACTGATTTCCTCTGCACATGGTACCTATACAAAACCTGGCAGCTCCTCTTGTTGGAGAGTGCTAGCTTTGCAGCTGGAATGTGTGTCTCTGAGACCCTGTCCCATTCTTTTCTTTTCTGAGCAACCTGCTAGCTCTACTAAAGGGCTCAGCTCAGTTCATACTTTACTTATCTGTATTCTGTAAATAATTATTTTTTTGTGTATCCTTGTTCTTGGAATTAAATGAATGAATATCTGTGCAGCCAGGGTTTAGGATAGAATTCTTTATACCGTGCTAACATGACGTTCTAATAGGTCAAGTCTATTCTCATTTGATTTCTATTGCTGTGATAAACAGCATGACCAAAAACAACTTGGGAAGAAGAGATTTTATTTTAGCTTACACTTGCATGTCATCGTCCATCACAGAGGGGGGCCAGGGAATAATTCAAGCAGGAACATGAAGCAGGGACCGAATAAAGAGGAGTCCCTAGAAGAATGCTGTTTACTGGCTTGCTTCCAGACTCATTTTCAGCTACCTCCTTACATCACACAGCACATGCTGTTTAGTGATCACACCCTGCCTAGAGAGGC